CTTGCTGCTGTCAGGGTAGGAGTCCCACTCAACGCGGACGCGGGGATTGGCGCATGTTGCAGCGGCAGCGAGAGTAGAGACGCGGAAGTTTTGGTTTTGCGCAGCAGGCTCCTCAGGCTGTGTGGCATTGTGCTCCTCGAATATCCGCTTGGCATCCGCGAGAGGAACGGGCTGAACGAACTTTGGTGTCTCGGCGAAGATGTTGAGGGGTAGGGCCTTGATGAGCTTGGTCAGGGGAAGTTCCTGAGGAGATGGAAGCGCAGAAACGCTGGCTACAACAGCCAAGGTGGCGGACAAGATTGAGGTACGCATGATTAAGGTATAAGTATTAAAAAGGTACTAAGATCCCGATTGACAGTAGCAGGAAAGCGAAGGACAACAACCTAAAAGCGAATGCGGTTGCTTGGTGTGATTGTTGAGCGAGCTGTACAAAAAGATCCCGACATGCAGGACGGCCAGTCATCCTTATACCTGGGACCTGCATCTTCCGCCTTACCGCCCGACTATCCACAGCGCGCGCGCCTCGTACTGCAGATCATTCGCAGTGCGCTTGACGAGCCGTCTCACCAGCGACACCTGATGATCGGTCATGGAAATACGAAGCACGCATGTACCGTGGGCGTGAATTCGGCCTAGGCCTGCAACGTAGTATTGGAAAGTAAGTAAGCGTGCGCGAGCTACAGCAGAGGGAACAAATGATAAGTGGGAGGCTATACTGCTTTTGGGCCGTGGCTCATCAAACGCTGGCCGGGCGCCCAGGTCAGGCCAACCTCGGGCTTGACAGTCTACACACGAGGATAATGCTGCTTGCCGTGGGCTCCTGGGCCTGAGCCGACCCCGAGTTGCGCGGAAATTGTCAGCGCGCTGACGTGAACGAACTACTGTGGAGCTTGTCGCTTCTCCTGGGCCTGCCCACGCTGCGTTCACGAGGCGGACCTGCCGGCTGCCGGAATGCAGGGCCGCCTTGATTGGATGGCGCATCGTGTTTTTCTCTTCGCTTCCAGATGCCGTGCAGCCAAATATAGCTCTCAGGAACGCCCTCGGTATTTAGCAATGTCTAGTAATGCTCCGGTCAACATGGCGTCCGCCAGCGTGCCATACCTACTGTCATGCAGACTGTCACATCGCGCGCGGGTGAGTTGTCAATTGAATACGGCAGCGTCATCTCGACTGAAGGATTTGCTAGTATCGCCCTTCGCCCGTTCAGCTGAGATTAGAATGCCACAATCCATTGTGTGACGGCAAGATAGCAGCCGTTGCCGTTGCAAACAAAGTGGCTGTGATTTGAAAGGGGGATCTGCGGCCAGCATGCACTTCCTGTCGCTAAACACCCAACCCCCAGCGCCTCACATAAAGGCGCTCCACACACAGGCGGGAATAACCTCGCACAAAGTATCCCGAACAATCCACTATCGCCTTATCACGCAAACTCCCCATCGCAATCTCCTCGCGCACAGGCTTATCGGCCGTCTATTTCGAGTGGCGAGCTCCACTTCGCATCGTGACGCCCCAATGCCTCGTCGTACGAGGTCCAATTCCACAGTACGAAGGCAGCATGGTGATGATGTTGGAAAGTGCGTGAGGGCGAAGGAGGAATACGGTCTACCCCGCCAGCTACTCAGCGCTAGCCAGCGCCGACACGAGAAAAACAATAACACTACTGCTCGAGGGCTGAAGAAGGCTGAGCTTAGTACCTGCGAGGCGTGCGAAAAAAAAAACCATCCCGTGTAAGATTCTTTTTAGCAATCGAAACGGCGAGCCCGGCGTACCGCGATGCTTCTTCACCGCCATACAACTCACCAGTGCAAACCCAAGCAATGCCGCACCGGGCATGTGCCACATGAGCAAAGAAGAAAAACGTTCAATCTATGTGTAGAACGCATGTTCGCGCTACTATAGGGCGTGTCTCAGCCTCATGGGACAGTTGTTCGGTTACACATAACCCACTAGAGCCTACCGCTACCAGCGTCTCTACCAGCGCCAGCGTCCCCAACGAGGAAAGTCACACGGCTGGGTTGGAGAACACCGGTACTGGTACCGCTCGCGATGCGTGCACGTGGCAAATCGAGCATATGATGCTTTTGTGCTCTCATCAGCAATGTAACCCGCGCTACGCCTCGCAGACATTCGTAGTCGATCCAGATGGTGTTTTGGAAACCGAGTACTTTCTCACAACTCTGACAGAACAATATTGCCGCAGCGCGGAGATCAGCGGTTTCCGCGATCTAGGTCTGAGAAGCCGAGAACTGCAAATGCTTCTTCGTGCAGGCCTTCTTTTTTCCGTTGCCACGCTTCGATCAGCAGTTTTGGTTGGCGCAGTGATGCTGGGCTTGGGAAGCCGAGTATACTGCGGCGCATGCTTCTCGATATTCCTCCACATGGGCCTGTTCCTGCCACGCTGAACTCCGCAGTTTCGGTATGCGATGCATTGTCTCGAACTGGAGCCGTCATCATCTATGAGGTGCGCATTGAGCCTGTGTTGGTCAATTTCATTACGTCTTACAGTCGTAAGACTCATCGCATTCACCTAAACTGTCAAGTTACACGACAGTCCATACATTGTTCAATTTATTCGGATGTTGGTTTTGAGTGCGTCAATACAAGACATGGTTTACCCGGAGGCCGAGATTGATGACATGAACCTTGCTTCCGATGCTTTCGGTGACATGTCGGTTCCCTCCCTTCCGCTATGTCGACATCTGCCGCAACCCGCCGTAAGACCTAACAAGTGCATCAGCACTACGGCAATGAGGAGCGCATCTCACTCAGCCCTGGTCATGTCTTAATCAGACTGCACGTCGTGTGACCCTGACCGAAAAGTCCTCCATAATCCACATCCCGGCATTGTATATCTTCGCCGCTTCATGCGGATGTACGATCGAGAAGTCAAACCGCCTCAGTAGCTCGACAAACACTTTGTTGAACTCCATCAACGCGACATTCTGGCCCAAACACTTGTATTTCCCGTAGTGGAAGACGAGGTCCACGGTACTGGCCATGTGCGCAAGACGTGCGAGATCTTCCGAAGCATCCAGCCAGCGTTCTGGCCTGAAGAGCTCAGCATCTGGACCGAAGATATCTGTAGAGTGCTGGATGCTGAGATAGGAAGACCCAATCTGCGTGCCTACAGGAACAAACTTGCCGGCAAGGATATCACCGCCTGCAGGAACGCTTTTGAAGTTCGACCCACTCGCTGGAGGCAGAATGCGCAAGCCCTCTTTGATAGTAGCTTGAAGGTACGGTAGTTGTCGCGCCTCAGCATCCGTGATAGGCGAAGAAATCGTCCCAGCAGCAATACCGTCGTCGATCTCCGATTGCAGTCTTCTATAAGAAGACGCATTGGTCAGCGTATGCAGCATCACAGCGCGAATCGTAGACGCCGAAGTATCGCTCCCAGCAATAATCTGTAAGAGCGCCTCGCTCGATGCTTCTTCCGGCGTGAGACCATGACGAATAAAAGATCCGAGCATGTCGGACTTTGGCTTGGACTCCTCGGATGCAAACCGTTCCGCAACCGCTTTCCTTGCCACGTTGATGAAGGCCCCAAAGCCGAGCTTGTCACTCTCTTTGGGAAGCACACCTCGCAACAGGCGCGAATGCAGCAGGTTCGCCAGCCAAGGTACGTACGAAAGCGCCATCATGACCGGAACGTATGTCGTGGTGATCTTGATGTAATCGTGTAGATCGACGTCTTGCTTTAAATACCCCATCGGCTTCCCGAATGCCAATGCGCTGATGACGTCCAGGGTGAAGTACTGCGTTTTGAGCGCTAAATCCATAGGCCGGTATTCGGTCGCGGTCGAGATATACTTCGTCTCGATCAAATCGATGAAAGCGGCTACCTGGTCATCGACCGTCCCTTCCATGGACTCATTCTCTTTCCCAGAATACCCAGGGGCCATCTTATTCCTCAACTTCAGATGCGCCGCCTCGTCGCGCATCGAAAAGAGATTGTCGCGTCCAGGCTCCAGCTTCATCGCATCGTACCATGGCCCTCGGGTGTATTCAGACCGCACTGCTGTCGTTCTGCGCACGATGTCTGGATCGCTGGTGACCAGATCGGTTGGACTGACGCGTACCAGCGGGCCATATTTGTCGGTTAGTTCTTTCGTCGCGGCAGGCAGTCGTCCTTGTAGCGATTTCGATATGATCCAGTAGGTGGAGATTGATGCCCAAAAGGGTCCGGGGATGTGCGATAGACGGTACCATTGCAGTGCGACGCGAGTTAGGTATGTAAGTAGTAGTGCGGTTGGTACGCCAATCGCGACGAGGCTGTTGTAATTGCTCAGCGTGGGGCTGGCCCCGCCATCGTCAACGCTACCCGCCATTCTACAACGAGGTATACTGAAGGAGGGGGATAACTGTGCGATGCGCATCTAGTCTCGCGACGCATCATATATGTCTTGCCCGTTGCATTGCTGGGCGTAAGCATGTTTTGTCGTGCATTATCGCACTGCAGGCATCTCTCGCTGCTTGAGTCCCTTCCCGTACTAGCCTGCAGACGGGCACATCGCACAAGATTTACACTCAACCGCTCAGCGCGGACATGCCAGCCAGAAATCTTTCGTTGCTATTCAGTAGTTCTGTTGAAGAATAGGGTGAGGTCTACATCTCCTCAATTACTCAGAATCTTGTGCAGTAGCACGCGCGCGTGTTTGCCAGTGGTGATGGAAAGCATGAGTTGTAATCATTGCATACTGACAATCATGAAATCGATCCCAAAGCAGTACCCCGCATGACACCGAGTTCAATCCCCTGCTACTCAATATCGATCGCGTCATCGTGCGTGAGGTCAAGTTCATCAAGAGCCCACGTTGTGAATGTGAACGCTACGAATGATGTTGCCAACGCCTCTGAACTCGAAAACACAGCGCCCATCATGAAATCGTTAACACACAAAAAGGAGAAACCTTAAGCCACACCTACTCTTACACATTTTCGCAAGACAACACATCCTTGTAAACCGTACTGACCAAAACAGCAAGGTAAGTTTGCATCCATCACTTCTGTCGCACGTCGTTCGAATCGGGCAGCTCCTGAGCTACCGGAGCCGTGTACATCTCCTGGGTACCCGAATAGAACTCGTGCTTTTTCTCTGGCTGACCATATTGAGCTGGCATTGGTGACGACGCCGACATTGGTGACATTGGCGAGCCATATGGGTGTTGTTGCGGCGTGGGAAGACCGTCGTCCGGAACGACTTTACGGTTACGCTTGCGTCGGAAACACAGGAAGAGGATAACAGCGATGATAGCTATACCGCCAAGTGCAGCGCCGATCCCGATACCTGCTTTGGCAGCCGTTGACAGCCCTTGCTCAGATCGTGGCTTACTCCCTGATGTGCTCACATTGGTGTCATTAGGTGAGTTCGGCTTCACACTCTCGACGACACTCCAGTGTCCCGCCCAGCTCTGGTTGAAGTAGTTCGTCTTTTCGCTGTCCCAGTAGTCTAGAGTCGTTGCTCCGTCGGCAATGTCCGTGAGCTGATCTCCTAGGCCCTGACCATTGAAGCTTGGTCCTGGGGCTTGACCCAGCCATGTGATCTGCGAAGCCCAGTTACGACCGACATATGCTGCTTGGAGGAACGCACGGCCTAGCCTATAGCGGTCGTCCTCGTTTGTAGGCGTGTAAGAGTGGCAGGGGAAGTAGGGTGTTGGCTTTTCGACGATAGGTGTGTCAAGTGTGAGGTTGAGTAGTGCGAAAGGGACTTTGATCGTGACGTTGAGGCTAGCTCCAGAGCCAGGGGGGAAGGTAAAACTGAGGTATGCGGGAGAAGTGACGATCTTGGTGTATTTTGGGTCGTCGGTCTTCCAGAGAAAGTATTTCGTCGTTGGATCGTACTTGATCGGAAGTACTTTGGCAAGGCCTTCGCATGTGTTGTCCGGCAGTGAGAGGTACGGATTACGAGGGTCGATGATGACTTGTTGGGCCTTGCCTGTCTCGCCAGTGTCGGCGACGAGCAGATTACTGATGCTGTCCACTTCGAAGGGTGATTCGCCAAACTCAACCCCGATTCCAATGTCAAGAAGGTCGACTTTATCCTGGTCTCGAAAGGACGTTGGAGGACCTATAACGCGACCTTTGTTGTAGCCACCGAAGACCAGCGAGCCAGGGTAGTCAAATGCAGCAGATCCGATATGTAGCAGGTACGAATATGAACCGATGATGCCATCCTTGTATAGCTTGCCGTTATAAACGTTGAGTGATACGTCGTACCCCGCAACAGTGTCGCTCTCCGAGAAGGTCTGCACTTGCTCTCCGCCCCCAAGACCCAAGTAGCCGAGCCTCATCCCTGACACCTTGCCATCAAAAGCCGTGATGTTTCCCGAATTCGTATGCATGATTGAGGCGTTCCATACTGTCGTGCCGCGGATCGTCAAGGCTCGATCAGTGTAGTTCGCGGGGCCCGCGATTAGACCGAAAGATGGAATCTTGACAGTAGGGTGCCACCCACCCAGTGGGAGGAAACTTGTTGCACCAGCATCTGGCTCCCATGTGCCTCCCTCACCACAGGTACTATCAGGGAAAGGATCGCAAGCCGATCGGCTGAAGATAAAACTCTCGAACGATCCTCCCGGATAGACGTCGACGTCAGCGTGGTTCTGACCTCCTATCTTCAGATTGGTGTCGTTGCCTCCGACCGTAATTCGCACAGCTTGCCATGGCCCATCGGGTCCATACTTCTTATCACTCCATGGCACATCGAGGTGGCTCTGCGCAGTCGAGCGAACTATGAAGAAGACCAGGAAATTGACGCCTATTTGGAGGAAAGATCGTGAAGACATCGGACAGCGTGTGACTATGGTATGATGAACAGTGTGATAAGTCGTAACAAGATATCTTACGACCAGTCATGGCCTGCTATACATAGTCAGCGCGAGCCGGTGTGTAGAAGTGACCCCACCCGTCGGTGACACGAGCCTTCCGATCCATGTAGGTTGGAACGGATAACAACCTACATGGCGTTTCGAATGAAGTCACGGGCGGGGCCCGAAGTTTGCACGATTGGTCGAAGATGCTGTTCTCGGTGCATACATCGGTCCTGAAGTACTTTAACAATAGCATTGTGCATCGCACAGGATGTACTCCGCCGACAATGTAACCTTTTTGTTGTCGTCATGCGGTCATTTCCCGACAGCATGTAGTCAGCCTTCGTCTTGGGGTGTGCCTTGCTGCAAGCAATCTCGCCCGCAGTGTCTTCTCGAGGGACGGAGAAGTTGCCACGACCTACATTTGCAAGCATCCAGCGACGCTCCATGCCACGCACTCTCAATTCTTGTGTTTACTTCTCAACGCTCAAGGATCGTCTGTACATTAGACATGTCGTCGAACTCTTCTGCTCTGCCCTCCTTTTCATCCCATGGTCGAGGGTCGCATATACCGCTCTCCGTACGTTTCCAATATGCACTTTCGGCACGCAAGCTGCGTGTTCTTTTCATGGTTGCAGCTTTTCTGCTGCTCGCGGGTGTCTTAGTAAGGTATGATGAGCATGTTGCTCGACTTCCAAACCAATTCCGACAGTTCACCAAGCACAACCCTCCTTTCGCAATAGACTCATCGCCAGCCCCAATTCCAGTCACAGACGCTAGCATTATCTGGTCAGATTTTGCATACGTACAATATGTAACAAACTCGAACTACCTCTGCAACTCTCTCATGATCTTTGAGGCGCTCAGACGACATGGGACGAGAGCCGACCTTCTCATGTTGTACCCACAGAAGTGGAAGGTGCCCAAAGACATACTCGATGACGACGCACCTCCAACCGACTATGAAGGCACGCTGCTGGCTCAAGCTCGGGACCAGTATCACGCAAAGCTGAACCCCATCCAAGTAAGGACGTATGTCAATGAGAAGGATGCGACGTGGCAAGACAGCTACACAAAACTGTTAGCATGGAATCAGACTCAGTACAAGCGCGTGATTTCTTTAGACTCGGACGCGACGCTTTTGAATGTACGTGCCTATCTCCGTCGACAAGCGAAGCTGTCGCTTGCTACAATGACCAGTGTTGACAATCAGTAGCATATGGATGAGCTTTTCCTCCTTCCCACGGCTCCAGTGGCCATGCCTCGCGCATACTGGCTTGAACAATTCTTCCTATCGTCCCAACTCATAGTTATCGAGCCATCGGAGGATAGCTGGCAGCGGGTGCAAAGCGCAATGGAACACCACGAGGGCCACGACTACGATATGGATATCTTGAACAAGGTGTTCGGTGCCTCGACTTCAGTGATACCGCATCGTAGATACGATCTTTTGACCGGTGAATTTCGCCACCAGATTGATCAGCACGAGGCCTACCTCGGCTCGCCGACAGAAAGATGGAACGGACGGGATGCGGTGAAAGAAGCCAAGTTCGTCCACTTTTCAGACTGGCCGCTGCCAAAACCGTGGTTGAACGCGACAGAGGATCAGGTCGCAAGACAACAACCGTCATGCCGATCGTTATCAGAAGGCGAGTTGGATTGTACAGACCGGGAAATGTGGTTGGAGCTTCGCAGAGACTTCTCGGAGCGACGTCTGGTATGCCATGTTTTGTCTTCTCTAACGTGCGGTACTGACAGCTCGCAGCGGGTGTGTGGAAAGGCTTACGACAACATTTAGTTGCCATATGAGATGCGCAACGCTTCGTATGTGTGACACTCTATGTCGGGAAAGTGGTTGATGTTGTTGGTTCCAACTGTAGTCCGTGGAGCAAGTTGAGATGTCGTGAAAGACGTTTATGTAGTTGTCGTGCCAGCAGCCCATGGCTTCCTCGATGCGCAAGTTATCGACTCAATTCAATCAAAAACCGTATGTCAACCCCAATCCTGATGTTGCAAATCGTCGTATCATGCATGGCGGAATGGTGTTGTGAATGGCGCAGCGTACGCGGTGACATGGCGGAACAGCGGAGAAGGAGCCGTGAGCCCACCCAAGCAGCTAACGATAGCTCCCTGCGAGCTTGGTCAGCCGGACTGTATATGATTAGTATATGCGTCATATGCCAATGTTGGTACCTATAAATGCTGTGGTACCACAATGTCACGATACGTGCGAAATCTCCAAAGATTGAATCTATACACACATAGCAGCAAAAACATGTCGCATCTCCAGTATTACGCATACCCCGGCAAGGGCGAGTCGGCCAGAGAGAACACCAGATACAGCCAGTCTGTTCGCATCGGCGACCGCATTGAGTGTGCAGGCCAAGGTGATCTATACTCGTACCTTACACAAGCGCCGCAAACTGACCACTGCGATCTTAGGTGGATGGGATCCCATGACCAGACTCATACCCGCAGACATCGACGCTCAGATCGACCAAGCTTTCCAGAATGTGGAACTTGCTCTGAAGACCGCTGGTGGGAAGGGTTGGTCGCAGGTGTTCCGCGTAAACTCTTACCACATCCCTATGGACAATGAGGCCTTGGGGGCTATGGTGCGGAATTTCAAGAAATGGATGCCGGATCATCAGCCTATCTGGACCTGTGTCGGCGTTGTGAAATTGGGCGAGGATGCTATGAGAGTGGAGATTGAGGTTTCGGCGCATGATCCTCAATAGAAGACGGTGATGGAACGTTCGACGAGAGCATGTTGGACGCGTCCCCTTAGTGAGCCGGATGGATTCAGAAGAACGACGTTTGTAGCCTATGCATGCGAAAGTCGATCTCTTGGATGAGCTTCGGGATGTTACAAAGAGCCCAATTCGAATTGCGATCAGTCAGCATCAATGCGAGATGGCGTGGTTGGTGATGCGTGATGTGGAAGGTGCGGACTTTGGGACGGAACACGTGAAATGGCGATGAGGCTTGCCAAGACCGTCGGCGCAACTATCGCCGACGGGATTCTTCCAGTTCTAGCTCTTGCGACGCGCTCCGTACTCTACGCGCAACTTCGCTACCGACCCCATCAATACGAACATCTCATCTCTGCGCCTAGACGAGCACTTCATACACGATGCCGAAGTTCTTCTGCGACTACTGCGATGTCTACCTCACCCACGACAGTATGAGCGTGCGGAAGGCGCACAACAACGGCCGCAACCACCTCCGCAACGTCCAGGCCTACTACGAGCAGATATCGAGCGACCAGACACAGCAAGTCATCAATAGTATTACCGACGCATACAACACAGAAGGCCAAGCCAACCCGCTGTTCCAACAGAACCTGGCTGGAGGCTTCCCTGGCGGACCTATGGGCGGGATGCCCCCAATGGGAATGCCACCGATGGGTATGCCTGGATTCCCGCCACCAGGAATGCCGCCCATGGGTGGAATGCCTCCAAATTTCATGGGCCGCGGAGGTCGTAAGTTGCCACATAGTTACCACACACGATCCCATACTGACAGCACGACAGCTCCAATGCCACCCAACGGAATGCCACCCTTCCCTCCGCCAAACGGTATGCCCCCGGGCCCCGGCGGTATGCCGCCCTTCCCACCACCACACATGGGAGGTGGCCCACCTCAAGGAATGCCGCCCTTTCCATTTCCACCACCAGGACAGGCAGGCTCACCCCCTGGAGGAATGCCTTATCCACCCCCAGGCGGTATGGGAATGCCCCCTGGCGGACCTCCTGGCAGATACCCTCCTGGACCACCGGGACGTTAGGAGCGACCTGGTGCACATGGAGGAATGATACCTGCCTTTGGTCACGACAACTACGCAGCTGAGGCCCTTGAGGCGGGAATGAAGAGGAAGAGGCAGAACGATGAAGATATGCCCGGAGTTTCCATGAGGGGTGGTGGACGAGAAGGAGGTGGAGCAGCTACAGGCGCGAACGCCATAGTCCCGACACGGATCAAGAGGGTATAGCGCAGGCTGCGACCATACGCTAGGGGAAGCGAGAGCAAGACGGCTGTGAAGGCACTTGGGAACAAGTACGTCCCATCCCCAGGCTGTCGCGATGCTTTCGGCTCACGCTCATGTAGTATTACTTGTCAAAAAGTTCATCAGTAATTACACGTAATGCGGATTACGAAATCTATATCAAAACACACCACACACTCATTGCTTTTAGTTGCCGACCACCTTCTATCTACTGAACAGACTTTTGGCAAACGTTTCAACATCCATCATGTCCATGCTCAGTGCCTTATTCACCGTCCCGCTCATCTCCCACCACACACCATCCCTGGCGAATACCAGCCTATACTTCTTGATACCATCTCCTGGCGCCGAGTCAAGCTCGTTCTTTAAATGCTCAAGACCCCACGCCTCTTGCTCAACCTGCTTCCCGCTCACCCGCTTGACGATGTCAACCAGTTGCCCATAACTAATCGTATCACCCGCAATATACAACACACGGTCCTCAGCTTCCACATCCCCCGCTACGACTCTCGCCAACACCCGTCCAATATCATTCACATCCGTCACAGTAACCTTGTGATTCCAGTCTATCAAACACCTCACCACCACTTTCCCTTCCTCCTCTTTACTCCTATCCACGATCCCCCAAAACTGCTCGAAAAGGAAAGACATGAAAATCCCCGTACTGACAACAGTCCACTTGACATTACTCGCCTCAGCCTTCTGCCGCAACAAATTCCTCACATCCCGCTGCGCACCAAACAAAGGCATCATCCCCTGTCCATCACCAATGACATCGTAATCGACACCCCACTGCCAGGGGAAGAACCATAATTTCCCTTTCCATTGCTCTTTTCTGATTTTACCGGCTACTAGGGCTTCCTCGGCGAGCTTGAGGACGCTGCTGGGGTCGGCGCCGAAGCCTGTTGCGGAGATGAGGATGTCGTATGCGGAGAAGCTTTTGGCGAGGGAGGGTGAGGGTGAGGAGAGGTCGATGGCTGTGAGGGAGATGTTGGCAGATTGCAGGTGAGTGTATTTAGGTGGGGAGCGGATGCCGATGGTGATGTGGGTGTTTGGGAGGGTGGAGAGATGAGGGAGGAAGGCTGTGCCTAGTTCGCCGGCGCCGAGGAGGAGGACGGTGGTTTGGGGGGAGGTCATTCTGGAAAATGGATCGATACCTAGGTAGTGTGGTCTGGGATGGATGTTATCTTAATCGAAGTAAGTATGGGATAGAGCCTTCTGCTTATATGGACGTGAGTATAAGTCATCACATTAAATCAAGAACAGGATCAGGTCATAATCTATCACATGCGAGGTATGCTGTCCTATGCTTCTGTACATGTTTCTATGTGGTGGGGAAGCAGCGCGGAGATAAGACTTGGGATACCGGAGTTAGTCGGCTTTGGATGGAAGTTGTGAAGTCAGGGAAGGAACGAGTAAAGATGCGTTGCCCAGCCTGAATTATGCGCTGGTGTAAAGAACAAGTCAACGCGAGTACCTAAATAATGCAGGCGATAGCATGAACGTGTTGCAGAGGTGAGATTCGGGCACGTATATTGACTACCCCTCATACCTGACTTTGGAGTGAGTTGCTGAGAATGGGATATCGCGTGGACTGGCATCGTACGCTGAGCTACTACTCATTAGGGCTGCACTCACTACAGGAACTTTGTTAGTGGCTTGACCATGTCATGTCCAAGTGAAGTCAAATGTCGAGTAAGGGCTCCGGTGCTGACGGTCCACGCTAAGCCCAAACAACACTAGTGGTTCGCCTATCAACCTTGGAATTTTGAAGCCTCCAGCCTTTGTGCGCAGTGCTCTTCGACGAACAACTATTAACACCCGAGTGCGCCTACGTCCATCCCAAGCAGAAGCCACTCATCGCAATCATGGCCGAGCAACTCGTACTCCGTGGCACCCTCGAGGGCCACTCCGGCTGGGTCACATCCCTTGCTACCTCTCTGGAGAAGTGCGTATACGCGGGATGAGGAAAAATGCACGAATGCGCAATACTGACACGCGATTAGCCCCAACATGCTCCTGTCCGGATCGCGCGACAAGACTCTGATCATCTGGAACCTGACCCGCGACGAGACCTCCTACGGTTACCCCAAGAGGAGTCTGCACGGTCACTCCCACATTGTCTCCGACTGTGTACGTTCACCACAAAATTGGGCAATTGGCTAGCTAGGACGCGGGAACAGCTGAGCTGACAATTGCTGCACAGGTCATCTCCTCTGACGGCGCCTACGCTCTTTCCTCATCGTGGGACAAGACCCTCCGCCTCTGGGAGCTCTCCACCGGTGTCACCACCCGCCGCTTCGTCGGCCACACCAACGACGTTCTCTCCGTCTCCTTCTCCGCCGACAACCGCCAGATCGTCTCCGGATCGCGCGACCGAACCATCAAGCTCTGGAACACCCTCGGTGACTGCAAGTACACCATCACCGACAAGGGCCACACCGAGTGGGTCTCGTGCGTCCGCTTCTCCCCCAACCCCCAGAACCCCGTCATCGTCTCTGCTGGTTGGGACAAGCTCGTCAAGGTGCGTACATCCGCGTTTACACCATTCCCTCCATTTCCTTGTTTATATGATGAATATCTATGTATTTGCTACTTCAGAGCTTCGGCTATGAGACAATTATCACCTAGTACTGATTTACGCTCCTCACTCCATCTGCTTCAAGCCACTTCAAATTCGGGAAGCTGACAAGATCCAGGTCTGGGAACTCGCTTCCTGCCGCATCCAGACCGACCACATCGGTCACACCGGTTACATCAACACCGTCACCATCTCGCCCGATGGCTCCCTC